TCCCTTTGGCTAGATCCACTGTCTGCACTGGGAGCAGAGCACACTGGAGCAGGCAGTCTGCTTTTCTACCACGGACATGCACTGCAGAAGAAAACAAGCAACAACACAAATCTCCACCCCGATCACTCAAACTCAGCTTACTGATTTATTTTCCTAGGCAAAGCAAAGAAAGAAAAATTGACATCTCATGGCATTTTATAAGGCATGTAATGACACAGAAGAGCAGAGCTGAGCAGTAATATGCTTTGGGAACACCTTTGGAATTACCAGAGAAAAGCTGCAGGTAAATAGGAAAGTTGTAGAGAGGAAAAGCCCATCAGAGAAGCAACAGTACAGGACCAGGAGAACTTCACACCAAATCAAATTTACTACAAACGCGTCTCTAATACAGCATCACAGTCTCTGAGGCAGACCAAAGACATGGTGAATTTGCCAGTGAATTAAAAAAGCTGGTGCCATTAAAAAAAGCTATCAGAAACAAAAGCTGGGTGTCTGCTCTGTTAGAAAAAGCTAAGAGAATCAATAATTGTCAGACATTCCCAGGCTTTACAGAGCATTCAGCTGCCCTTTAGGTGGACAATGGAGTCACGAAAACTCATTATTTCTAGCACTGGCAATCTCTTAGTCTAGGTGTGTCAGATAAATGCATTCACCAGCACATTACACTTGGTTCCTCCAGTCTCGTAATTTGTTCATTTGAATTCATCTCTGAACATTTTCTGTTTAATATTAAATTATCCTAAGTATCTTCCACTCTAACGTCAACCAATAAGAAATCACACCTCAAACCTGTGCTAATCCCGGTTCTACAACACTGCGGGCAAAAGAGAACTGGTCCACATTGACTTTTGTTTTTATATATGAAAATGCTCTGGATGAAGCTACCTTGGCTCAAAATGTAGAATATTTTTATATCCTCTGAAATGAGAGCTCTGAGCCCTTCGATAAACAAACCAAGTCACTGTCGGTTTTGACTGCACTTTCATTGTTTCCTTCTTGAACTTAATCGTTATTTTCAGTCTTCCCATTGTCCTTGACCTCACCAAAGCTTTTCAGATCACAGCTTGTTCCTGTAACTGTATCTAGAGCAACCCATGAGCTTTCTTGCAATAGCACAGCAGCACTCCATAAAATCAAGTTCTTCTCCCTTTGTAGCCATAATGCCCCCAGTGGCTATCCCATGCACCCGAAGTTCCTCTTTTGTCTATTCAGTGGCCCTATTCTCTCTCTTTCTTTCCCAGACTGTGAGCAGGAGTGTAGAAAAACACCATCTCCTGGAAGGCAGTTTGTATCTAGAGATAATAAAACTCCTCAAGTGAATGTGCCAGGAAATAGGGAAATGGAGAAGGGCATGTTTCCCACATGTACTTAATGCTCAATTTTCTACATAAAGGATGCAGCACAGGGAAAATAACCCAAACCCCAAAAATATGCAAGCTAGTTTTTCTCAGAACAGACAATGAGAATACAATGAGAAAAGGAAGATAAGCAAATAACAAGATGCACTGTGGAACAAAACAGAGCAGTAAATTGGTTTTAGATCTGGCTTGCACATGAACACAGTACAGACCAGGACGGGCAGGCCACTGGCACACAGGCAAGCAAAGGAGCCCTGCCTTTCCACACTCTTCCCAGTGCTCCCAGTTTTGGGAGGAGCATGCAAGCTGGCCACGCAACGCAGTCAAACTATCACTGACATAATGAAAAGCATATGACCATGCATATGTCAAGGAAGCCTAAAAATCTCACATGGTGATGTGCACATACCGAAGACACACAGGCGTCTCCAGAGTGACATGCAGCTATCACTCAGAACAGAGAATACTGTCTCAACACTCAACATGAAGAAAAACTGAAGCAACAGATAACCACTACACTCCAGCATTTCAAAGCCACTCAGGCCATATTTAACTCTTCACAGGATACAGATTTTAGTTGTCAGATAGGCTTTTGATATATATTTTATTCACCAAATTCCAGCTCTAGTGAAATTTGAACTGAAAAGCAAGGAGACAATCAGGCTGCCTCCTGGACTTTTGCACAGGCAGCAAGAGTCAAACTCACTGCAGAGTCTTTACGCACAAAGCCAGCAGGAGCATGGGAGCGTTTCTTCCTCCGGATAGCAAGGGGAATGTGCCTCAGCTATACAGTCACACACTGTGGCCCAAAGGCAGGGCAAAGGCTGAGGTAGGGGAAAGTCTGACGATGCTGTGTGTTTACCCTGAATTCTGGACAGCAGCAGCAGTCTTTGAAACAATAACTCCCTTCAGGCTGCATCTCATACCTGAGGCAGCCTCAACCCTGTCCAGTACAAAATATCCCTATGAACAGTACTCCCCAGAAAGCAACAACACAGAAAGGTCCCCAATACAAAGATGGAAAATGGAGCTTTAAAAGAAAAATAGTAATTCTGCATTTCTCTGTGTCCCCCTGCAGGCAGGTAATACAAAGCTGAAGTGGCCTTGCAGCTTGTGTTTCATTTTAGGAAAACGGTTAAGCTACTGCTTGCTTTTTATCAACTACACTCTTTGCCACATTTAAGGATTTATCAACAGTGAAACATTTAAGCAGAGGTCTTTCAGTCTCTTTTACCCACTCTAAGGTCTGGGTTAAGATAACGTGAACAGTACTTGCTGCAGAAAAAGAAAATCCCAACAAACATAACCATCAAACTAAGAGCTCTTATTTTGTGTCAAATATCATGTCTAGCTGAAATTTGCAAGTTCTTCCTTGTTTTCTGCTGGCTGCAGTGGCAAGCAAGAAGAAACTTGCAAAACTGGGCAAAAAGTCTCCAAGAGCTGCTCCCCCACCAAAGCAGCTCTCTAGGATTTTCCATTCTGGGCAACGTGTCACACAGCAGCAGGCACCCTCAGCACACAGCTTGCAGGCTCTGAGGCCAGCCTGGCCCTGCAGCATCCACCTGTCCTGAGGGACACATAGAACAAAAGCCAGTATCCCACATTCTGAGTATCTCAGCAAGGAGTGATCCTTTGCCAAAGCACTGTGCCTCAGAAAATGGCCATTTTTCCCACTATAAAAATATCTTTGGTGATTTTTAATATTGCTGCTATACCGTTAAGGAAACGTCTCAATGACTGTGTATCTGCAAACATTCTCTGAAATAGGTTATAAAATTTAGTTTTGACTTTTCAGAGTTTCCTAAGAGCAAAAAGCATCACTTGCTTGTACAGGGAAGGAGTAAAATGGATCTAAAAAATCACGTTCAAAACTGCCCTGGAGCCCTGTTCTCATTGTGTGAATCACACATAGTGCAGATCATGACAGTGCAAGCTGTAAATTCCAACTGGGATTTTGCCTTGTCAGGCCTACGCAGACTGGATTGGGGTCAAACCAATAACTTTGCATAGAGGAGAGCCAATAGCCTTCGACAGATTTAAACTCTGTAATAGCTACCCAAAATTTCCAGTTCCAGAGCTTAAGACTTGATTTCCCCAGGAGTCCAAACACTGTAACTTTCACTATTTTTCTCCTGGGAAGTTTCCTTTTAGTAGATACACAGGAAAATTTTAAAGAACTTCTCTATTTTTCTTTTCTTTCCCATAAAATGCTATAACCTTCTGAAAACATGACAGGAAAAAAGCCCCTTCATGTTTAAGCAATCTGTATACAGCTTTATATACTTCCACCACGCACACAAATTAGTATCTCCTCCTTCTGTCTTGTTAATGCTTCACAAGCCGCATGCCTACAGACAAATGAGCAGTCTCCTTTCTTTCTGGAAACCTCCTTGGCTACCAGGATTTGTCTCTTTTTACTTCTTGTAATGCAGTAATTATATTCATACTTATTTGCTACCTACATCTATTTGGTTCTTTTTTTACCTTTCCCTAACAGGCGAGGCATTATCTGCAATCCCTGTTTTCCTCCTCTTCCCAAAATCCTCAGCATTTTGCCGTCATACTGAGAAAGTAATCTTTTTTTTATGGTGGTGCTTTGACTGTTTTAAATCATCAACATTACTAAAAGGACTTGACAACATGGAAACATGCAATATGAAATATGCACCATATGCAGAAATGATATTTGCTGAAATGAAAAAGACCAGAGAGGCATGAAACCTCAACTCTAAAGATGCTTCTTGCAATATGCTAAAATTGTGAAGATAATTTCAATCGAACTGAAGCAATATACACAGTATAGTCTGTATGGCGACGGGTATTTTACAAAACGAAACAATTCATGATAATCCAAACAGTGTGAGCAACAAATCCCACTTCTCTAGCACGCGCCTAGTCTCTACTGCCTGCTATCACAAGTGAACCATAGGGCCACAGAGCTCGTAAATTCTGCCTTCATCAGTAACATCAATTAAACTTAAGAAAATATGTTAAACAGCTTTTTTTCCCTTTTTTTCTTAAAGAAGAAAAACAAACTGGATTCCCTTAATTTCACTGATTTCCCACAAATAAATCCTCTAAAGTCAACTGCCACATACCAAGAAATAATTTGGCGCTATGATATATGAGAAGGTTATTGAGCAACCTAGGATAAACTTAATCCACCTTACAAACCAGTACCAAGTAATCTGATTTGTGTAAGAGCTGAAATCATCACTTTTCCGTGCTTCAGTTCCTGTGTTTGCCATATTAACTCCCACATCAATCCTAGGGCAGATAACTTGAACTACCAACCACAGCACAAAAGAATTACTAAACCCAACAATGTCAGTTTTTATGCAAAGATAGCTTCTAGTAGGAAGCACGCAGAGTACTGCCAGGTTGTCCAGTCCCTGTTTTGCACAAACAAAATAGAAATTATCTCCTTCCAGAACTGTTTAAGATACTTTTCGTTACAAAATCTTCCAGTGTATACAGACTGTCTACCACAAGGACAAGTTTGTTTCATAAACTAATTCTTAATGCTTACCAAGACCATCCTTCTCTTCAACAAGGGAGGATATATACAAGCAGCAAAGAGTTATTACAAATACGTTATCAACTCAAGAAAAAGCATCAGCAAGGGGTTATCAGTGTCCGTACCAGTATTTGTTACCAGCAGGCTACCTGCATTTTCTTTTCCCTCTCCATCACTACTCCAGTATGCTGAGTTTTCCAGAACAATTTCTTCTAGTGCATATGTTCCTAAAATAGTTTTCAATAAATATGTGTTTATTACAGCAGTGACAGCAGAGGTGATATCTGGAAGCAAAAACATGGAACATATTATTTCACCCAGTGACTATAACTCTAAGCATTACATAAGCTGAAAAGCGGAATGCATTTTTAAGAGAAAAGTGTTCAGAAACAATGTAAGCGAGAAAAACATGTCTGAAAAGTGCACTTTAAATGTCTTTCAGATTGCTTGGAGAAACAACTGCAAAGTCAATATATATATATATATATGAACTAAATTAACAGTCCATGAGTAATTTCTGTAGTACGCTTCCCGATCAATAATAAATGCCAAGTTCAGATTAAAGTGAAGAACTCTTCCCAATGTCTCCACATCCAAAAATTCTCTTTGCTAACATCTCAAAAGTCACCATTCTACCACAATGTAGCCATCATATTTTTACCACCCCCAAACCAAATAGCTGTAAAACCCCTCCAAAATAAAACTAAATCAGAGGCAATTATCCATTTAACCATTCTAACACAGCACGATTCACACAGAGCTGATACTCAACAGGACGCTGTTGTACACTCTCTTTTCTGACACAATGCTTAGAAGGTGGATCAGAATGAAAAGGGAAAGACAAAAAACACAGCCCAGGTACTGACCCACTCACTTGTGCTAGGCAGGGAACTCAGGCCACCAACCTACTCTTCAGTGAGGAATGTGGGGTGCAGAATCTGTTCCTTGAGATGCTGCTCCAGCCACAAACCCAAGCTCTGAAACAGCAGTTCCCAAAGCACAGCCCCGATACACAGGTCACCTGCAGCTCAGCAAGCCTTTGTACAGTAGCACACAGAGAGACTTTTAAATAAAAGGCTGCAAGAATACGATTAGTAGCCTGCTCAGAGATTGCCAGCGCTCCACAGATTTGTCTCTCTCTCTGGAGACTCATGCACTTCTGAGAAAACTTGCCCAGTTAGGACTACACACGAGTCCAAACTAGTTCTCAGTCAGCCATGGCTTCTTTGAGTCTTTTGTGACTTGAAACATTTCAAATCTAAGTTGCCTCTCACTAGTGCCAATACAATTCCTGCATAAACCATTTCCATATCTGAATTAAGTAGTGCTGCTAACTCTCCATATCATAAACTTCAGCACATATAAAGCCTATCAACTCCTCTGGATACAAATGCACCAGAAATAAATGTTATGTTTTATGTTATAACAAGACATCTTCCATGAATGAGAGTTTGGGAATCCCTGCTCTCCTTAAACAAATCTACGTAGACTTTACTCTGGGTATGACCTGACACAGTTTTATCAGTGAAGCTCTTAGCAGGATAGTCGCATACTGACAAACACATAAATAATCACTCTTATTTTCTTGATACTTCCCCTGGTCTGTGAACTTTCAAGAGTTCATTCAGTGAATTATAATCTGATGCACATTCACTGTCTCTATCATCCTACAGAGAGAATTCAAGTGTGGCACTTGCTACAATATTTGCAACTGAAAACTCCAAATTAAAGACACTTCTCTTTAAGACTTAGGCTTCATAACTTCTTTTACAGATGCTTCTTACACTCCATAGTTGAGACAAATTCTCCTAGGCTGTCAGAAACTGTAAGCAAAATGACAGAGTGGTAATAACAGCACAACCCTACAAACTACTCAGAGTTTACTGGGTGCCACTCACACACCAGAGCCATATCACAGGAGAAGGCAAGACTGCCATCTTCCCCGGACTGAAAGTACATCTCTCCTCGCTCTCTCTTCCCGTATACTACCAGGGAATCTGTCAGTGTTACGTGGCGGACGCCGCCAAGCACTGCTACTTGTTCATCTCCCTTCTCCTCACGCCTGCACACATATTTAAACAAAAACTCACACCAACCCTACATCTTGTGGTGATGCTTAAAACTACGCAGTGTTTCACAAGAGCACCTGTCACTGGCCCTGAGCACGAACCTCCCTCGGGGTTCAACTTCCCTCTCAACTCCCCTGAGGACACAAACTGCACTGCTCCCTTTACACGCTCTGAGCAGAAACGTTGCTCCAGGCGAGGGCGGAACCTCCGGGCGGGCAGGG